AAGGCCGGGTACTCTACACTGCCATTCGGCCCGTAGGCACAAACGGCAGTGAGAGACCTATCCCCGACCCGAAGGCGCAGGGAAGCGACCCTCTCGTTCACCGGGGTAAACTCCAACACATGGCGGCTAAGCTTCCACATGATCACATTTATTCTTCTGGCGTCATAAGATAAATCAATTGTTTAACTTCAACTCTGAGCCCTGAAAGTTAAGGCTTGAACCTAGAAATACTGAGCCAACAACACCCGTTAATCCACCGCTGGTGTGTGGGTGTAGCTCTAAACTTTACTCCATAATGTGTGCTGACAGCCTGATGATGAACACATGAACACTGCTGTTACTGCAGTAGTGAAGTAGTGCTGCAGTACTCACTGAGGTTGTGGTTGTCTTTCTTCTGTCTCTCTTTGGTCAGAGCTTTGGTCTCCACATCTACAACAGCAACCACATCACAAATGTTTTACATTCAGCAGACATTTTGTTTATGAGGACAGCATTAAACAGGCATCTCTGACTTTACACAGGTTTATGGGGACACTTTGAGAAGTGAGGACACTTCAATGAAATGAGAACATTGTGTAACTTTTTGTCAGCCTGCAAAACGTCCTGCAGTTTCAGGTGCTCTGACAACAATAACAGGGGAAACTGTTTAATTCCACTAAGCAATCCCAACTAAAGGTCCACTTAATGATTATTTTATTTTTTCTGTCAAGTATTGTATTTGACTTCCTGCAAGGATTATTTTGTTTTCCTGATGAATAACACAAGAAACTGGATCTGTACAGTAACTTAAAATGAACTTTCTGTCAGAGCAAACTGTGTGTTTTAGTTTGGAGGACGAGTGTTCATGCTGACTGAACAGGAAGTGGGACCTGATGATGTGGGAAAATGCGACTGATACAAGCCAAGTGTGTTCAGAGGAAGTCGTGATGTTGACTCATCACAGTGAAGAACAACTGATTTCTTTTACAACAGAAAAAAGGGAAACGCAGGAGGAGGACCTTCAGTCTCAGAACTAGACTGAGCCAATCAGCACTCAGTCCTGCAGACCGTGGGCCAGATCAGCTCAGGGTCTGAGCTGGGTTTTCAGGTGTGGATGAGACACACTAGGCCCTGAATATGTGCTGCATATAATCAGATGATACTGCTGCTCTCCAGGGAGTCCTGCCCTCAATAAAACTAATCAACAACTAAAATCTAGGTTTCTGGTTAGAATCGATTAGGTTAACCCCGTTGGTTCAACTTACATACTTCTGTTTAACCCTGAATAACTTCTTGAACATGGAAAACAGCAGGAGGAGAAAACCACAGAGTCACTGACTGTGTGCCTTTGATTTATCCCGTGGTTCAATGGGGTGTTGGCAGAAAAACAATCTGGTTAATATGAGTCAACAGTGATTCGTTTGTAAAAATACCAAATAAACAACAGTGTCACTGACAAACTTCGAATGTCTGTTTGTAAAAATACCAAATAACAAACGACAGTGTCACTGACAAACTTCGAATGTCACATATTTGTATTGTAGCTTGTATCTTGTTAACAACGTGTGTGTGGGTGTTGGGGGGGTACTACAGCAGTGTGTGATTACGATATGTTCGCTAACCCACCGCTCAGCTCTCTCTTGATGGCGTGCAGCTCAGCTGGGCAGCTGTTGCTCACGGTGACTGTGGGTGTGGCCATCCCGCCGCTGCCGCTGTACACATCCAGCATGGTCCCCGACACTGGCAGCTGGAACGAACCAATCAGAACACAGAATCAGCAACAAACAGAGTAGTGAGACAGAATCCAGAGCATCCTGTGCTGTGACTGGCTGCAGTATGACTCTGCTAACAAGGCTGACCTTCTGCTTCGTGTGACTCAGATGTCGCCATAGTTTCTCTAGTTAGCTGCTAACTGCTAACAGCACAGTTGTTTAATCATGTCTTCCATCAGGCAGAACATGAACTACACAGTACAAAATATATAAATGTGAGACAGTTTGTTTGTATTACTGCAGCATCAGTCCCACTGCACAGGGAGGGCTGGAACCTCCAAACCACAGCTGATCACATGGTTCAACCATGTTTAACCTGTGTGGCTTCTCATTTGATCAGCCTTTTCATCCCATGTTTTGAGTCCTAAAACCTTTGTGTTCTCACCCTTAAGTTTAAGGTTTGATCCTATGGGTTGCACATGTACGTATCTCGTACCTGATCTCAGCCTTATAATTACCTTTATGCTTTTTCATTCATTCATTTGTTAGGTCAAGTGTCCTGCACCGGTCCCGTCCGGCCCTTATTAGCCAAGACAGAACATTACATAAGACTCAGCTTCCATGTCAGAAATGTCTGACTATGCTGGATACACTCCTCTCTGTCTTCGCTGAATCTCGCCAATGTGCTCCCCTCAAACTAGCAGAGTGCTGGGGGGTTGGGGGGTTCAAAACAGGGGCAGAGGAGCACAAAATGAAATATCCTCCACAACATCAAGTTTACAAAGAACACATCCATATTGGAGAGTGTCCAGGGAAAAGAGCAAAACAATGGATGGACTGAGCCAGCTGATCTGTTCCTGCAGAAGGTGTGGAGTCGGCTGCTCAAACAGGAAACCTCTGCCTGCTGCTCCAGCGCATGCTGACGACTGGGGCAGCAGACAAACACAGGCCCTACAGGGACCCACCAGAGCGTCTGCAACAAGCTGCACAGCGACACAGTCAGTCTGGTTAACCTCTGCAGCCAGAGGCTTATTTTTGGAATTTGTGCCTGAAAAACCAGATTCAGTCGCTAACAGCTGCACAGCTGTGAGGCCAAAGAGTGTGAGCGCTCAGCAAACGTTCACATTTTCACTTCCACTTGATAAAACCTCTCAGCTATTGAGTAAACAGCCTCATAAGAACAAGTCAGTGACTCCTAAACACTCAGAGCCGCAGCAGAAATGAAGCACAACAATGTAGTAGTCCTGTGATATGGTTGTTGAGCCACGTGTGTCATGCTCAGTCACCTTCAGGCCACAGTCTGGTCCCAGTACCAGGACCACCAGGGTGGAGAGGGTTAAAGGGCAGAATCTGATCAGCCGATGCTCTAACAGTTTTACACTGTGGCTGCAGCAACATGGATATTCATGTCAAAACATCATGTTCACACATGTCATATATAAGAAGAGCTAAAATGAAACAGCGTCAGACAAGATGGGATTCCTCTCTGGCTGTTAGCTGAATGTCATCACACATGCACAGGTCAGCCACAGCTGTGAGTACTTTGACACCTCATATTTCAATGTACTGAACTGTAAATTAATTCATTATGAACAAAGTGAAAGTTTGTTTCCACCTCAGATGTTTCTGACTCTGACACTAAATGTCTGTGATTTTGTCTAGAAAACAACTAATGAGCCGTAGTTGATCCTCTGTGAACCTCCCTGCCTCTGTAGGACAGTCTCAGTTATAATCACAGCTGAAAATGAAAGGAAACAACAGACAAGTGCATTCACACAGGTGCCTGTGTAGCTGTGTAGTTTCTAAATTAAATCTATTAAAGTATTTTCATTTCACGCTGCAGTGTCACCGGTGTCTGCAGATCCAGTTCTAAAGCATCCAACAGTTTATAAAGTAGTTACACCAGAAGGAGCCACACTGCTACAACATAACACACTGTTTAGATGTTAATGCACCTGTAATGATCATCCAACAATATGATACACAACAACACAACACAAAGTGGAGACATGAACCTCTGGTCTTCTCTCTTTTCCTTCCACTGAACTCAACCAGTTAAAACCCTGGATCAACAGTGTTACTATGCTGCAGAGGACAGAGGTCACAAACTGTCAAACTGACCGGGAACACAAGACAAACTCTACAGTCTACCTTTGATTTAATCCTCTTCTTCTCATGGTCTGGCAGTAAAACCAAAATCCTCATTCTTTTTGATTGCACACAGACTTGCTCAGAGTCCGGCTGAGCGGCTTCTCTTCCTCTTTCTGCCTGGACGACTGTTGAAAAATGAGGAAACGTCTCTTTAAGAAAGAAACAAAAACCCAGAGCTTCATTATCTGCCGACACACAGGCGCACGCACTCGGCCTCCACCCACAGCTGCTGCAGCACAAACGAGGAAGTCTGGAAAACTGAACTGATGTTCTGCCAGCTCAGGCCTGCTGCTGGAGGCGGGTTGAAACCAACATGAAACCCACCTTTATACCTAGCTTTAAACTCACTGTAAACCAGGCTTTAGGCGCAGTTTTATCTTTAGTTCAGCTTTAACTCAGTTTTAACTCCGGGTTTAAGCCCAGATTTAACCTGTCGGCACCGTCCACAGCATCTCAGTTTAATGTCTGCTACATTTTGTCCACATATGCTGCTGAAACTGTTGCCTGTTTGCTTCCTGTGTGTTTTCTGCAGATGTGTGCTACCGTGCTGGCAATCTGCAGTCCAGAGTCGATCAGTGTCAGAAACTCGTCATTCAGGCTTGACTCCAGGCTGATGATGTCATCGATAACCGTCTCTTCCATCTGAATGGACCAATCACAGACGAGACACTGGTCAGACCAGGTGGGCCTAAACATTTAGAGCTGATCCTAAAGATCCTGTCAGGTCCAGGCATATTTTAATGGATCAGATTTGACTAAAATCGAACTTCAGTGTGTTTTGTCCCCTCAGCCTGCTGGAGCCTCAGCTGCTCTCCTGAACAACAGCCAGTCAAACTGTCATTACTTATTGTTCATTCTGTGAGGAGCTTCGGACCAAAGTGAAAGGTGTCTGTGTCTCTGCAGCCGCTGTCTGTACTCAGTCAAAGATCGTTTGTGAGGGAAGATGGTCCACTCTGTGACACCGCTGTATAACCAGAGTGGACTGAGTGTTTCCAACAGAGTGAGATGTCTTAGGGGCCCCATGATGCTCTGAGTTCCTCTCCTCTCCTCTCCTCTCTTCTCCTCTCCTCTCCTCTCCTCTCCTCCCCTCTCCTCCCCTC